CATATATAGATCACACAATAATAGCAGCAAAAAAAGAAAAAGAAAGGACGGAAGGAAGGACGGACGGAAGGAAGGAAGGAAGGAAGGAAAGAGAAGAAATGTAACAGAAAAAGTGCAAGGCCAAATGAATAAAACTTTAAAAACACCACTGAGTGATTTGAAAGATGCCTTGAATAAAGGGGAAGACATAGCATGCTCTTGGATAGGAAGATTCAACATAATAAAGATGTCAAATATTTCTAATTTAATTTTAAATATAATTTTAAAAATATGTTTAACTAGATAAGCTAATTCTACAGTTCCTAAATAAACAAAAGCCAGGAAAACTTGGCAGAAGGAGAGAAAAGAGGTGAGACTAACCCTACCAAATATTAAACACATTACAAAGCATCAACAATTAAAACAGTGTGGTGTCTGTGCATAAATGGAAGAATAAATGAAACATAATAGAATGTTGATAGAGTCAAATACACTCCAGAATTTAATATGTGGCAAAACCAGAAAGGGAAAATTTAGTAAATATTTTTGGGTTACCATACTCCCCACATATGCTAGGATGAATGCGAAATGAATGAGAGATTTTAAATGTAAATAATGAAACCATATATGTGACAAAGAAAACGTGGAAAAAATCCCTTATAATCTTGGGATGAGCTGTTAAAGCTGTGACTATAAATCCAGAAGCTACAAACATTCTGTGTGATATAAAATTCCGTAGTATAATCCATAAAAATACAAATTAAATGCAAAATGGGTGAAATATTTGCAATTTATCACAGGCAAGGAATTGATTATCTAACTTATAACCATCTTCTAGAAATTGGTAAGAAAAAAAACAATCAAACAGAAAACTATAAAAAGGAAATTCAAGTGGCTCTTAACCAAATGAAAGGATCCTCAATTTCACTTATAAGAAAAATTAAAATTACTCTGACACCATTTTTAATTCATCAACGTTGGCAAAAATTTAAAAATTTAATTAACAAGCTTGGATACAAACCAGCAGGCACTCTCATACACTGCTGGTGGTAATGCAAATTGGTACAACCTCTATGGAAGCCAATTTGCAGCATTTTTCAAAATTACAAATGCAAATACCCTTGACCAGAAATTCTCCTGTTGGAAACTTCTCCAATGATACTTGTGCAAAAGTACAAAATGACACTCATGCAAGGCTAGTCACCTCAGCATGGCTTCTAACAACTGGAAACAACTCACCTGCCCACCAATGGGGAACTGATTAAATAAATGATGCTATTTCCACATAATAGAATAATATGAAACTATATTATTTAAAGTACTTAAGATTTTTATTAGTGATATGAAAACATTTCCAAGATCTTTGTGTAGAATAGTAAATAGGCGGGGAAACTGGGTAGACAGATGTTAAAAATGGGAAGGAGACTATTTACTGTATACTTTTAAAATGCATTTTCTTTTTTTTTATTGTCTAAAGTTTTACATATATCTTCTTTTTCCCCAATTGACACCCCCGCCCCCACCCCGGCCATTCCCACCCCGGGCAAGCCCCCACTGCACCAGTGTCTGTGTCCATTGGTTATGCTAATGTGCATGCAGACAAGTCCTTTGGTTGCTCACTAGCCCCTGCCCCTCCACCCCTGCCATTTGTCTCTGGATCTATTCTTGTTTATCAAATTATGTTGGTCATTATATCCCACATATGAGTGAGATCATGTGCTATTTATCTTTCTCCACCTGGCTTTTTCGCCTGGCATAACGCTCTCCAGTTTCATCCACTGCATGGGAGAGCATTTTCATTCTTTAATCATGTGGATATATTATCATCTGAAAAAAGTAAAATTTTGAAATTCTATTTTTAGCATTAGTGGACACATGATGTATAATGAGCACTGTATTAACTGCTGTAGAGCCAAGCATTCAAGTATTTCAATACCATCATCCATAGGGTCAGTAATATTTTAACAATTCTTGTGTTACCATAAATGGTTAGATCAAGTAGGACCAGATTCCCCCCAGACTAACTGGAAGCAAAAAAAATCAAAATATTCTAGCATATTCTTATTCATATAAAGTTATTCTCAAAAGTCTCCCTCTCTGGATTTTTTATTAAAACTTTTTCCCTTAGGGTATTGCCCTCTTGTCTGCCCCTTTAGAGCATGATGTTTAAAAACACAGGCTTTAGAGATCATTTAACTCTGCACCATTTGTTGTCTGCACAACCTTGGACCTGATGCCTCAATTTCTTCATGTGCAAAATGGAGGTAACCAAACTTTATAAAATTGCTGTGAGGATTTAGTGAGTTTCTGTACTTAAAGTTCTTAGCCCGATGTTTGGCTCACGGTAAGAGTTCTAGAAATACTAAGTATCTCTATATTACTGCATTGTTCTCTGGGCCTGAATTTCCACTGGATTCTGAACTCTGGCATGCTTTTGATGGACACTCTGGTTACACATCTGGCATGAGAGGTTTAGCCTGTGATATCGTCTCCAGTCAGGTCAAGTAACAGTTTACTTAAATTGGTTACCATTTAGACACTCCATCATAAATTTATGTAATTTCCTACCTTTGAATTAAAACTCCTCAGTGTAAACACATTAAGTTTCTATCTAATAACCTTTTCACTCTTTAATTCAAAAATAATTTTCATTGTACATCAACAAATTATCAGCATTTTAGCATGCTCATACCAAAAGTTCAACACTCTAAATTTTTATTACAAAACTCAATTTATCTACAAAATCAAATTCACTACTACACTCAGATTTATTTTATAATTCTGTAACTAACAAAGCCTCTCAGTCATTGTAATCAAGTTTTTTTTAAGGGAGAAAGTTTTTGTTATATTTATGTAATTACCATTGCAGTTGTAAGAAACACTCCATGCCAATTTCAATTACTTCAATGTCAATAATTCACATTAATAAAAGTAATTTATATGACCTCCTTACAATGTGTAAACTATTTTAATAAGTATGTAAAAGGCTTTGGAAGAGGAAACATACCGTTGAGGTTTAATTTTCAAATGTTAGAAAGGATTAGAGACTAAAATTGGCTATCAGAAAATTCACTGGGGACCACAATGAACCCACAACAGAACATTGCCAAGTCCTTGTTATTAATAATTTCTTCTTTCTAAATTCCTTTAGAAAACATACTATCAGAGATTATCAAGGGAAATACTATAAAAACTGTAAATTATGCTTAATCATTGGGCTATAAACTGGAAATTTTTAATTAAAAAACTAAAGCCTTCATAGGAATAATGGAATGCTGTAACTTGAAAGTAAAAATTAGGTTAATTTTGTTATGAAATAAATTTTTGTGACATTATGGGTCAAGTACTGATTTATATATCTCTTGGAGATGTAAGAAAAAAAATGTAAGCCCTGAGGGAAATTGTAATCCACAAAGCAAATTGAGACATGTAAGATAACTAAGATATAAATATTAAGTCATAGGCTGACCTAAGGGGGTTCATAAGGAGGTGACCACAGAAACTATTTTGCATTTTAAATAGGTCTTATAGAAAGGCAAATGTTCAATAGCCAAATGTGGTGGAAGAGACCACTTCAAGAAAAAAGGGGAGTAATCTGAGTAATGACTGGAACAAAATAGCAGAGATTTTGTAGAACTGAACACAGAGACTACAGTATAGAATAATGATCGTGGGGAATAAAACAGATTCAAGAAGCTACAAGACAAGGCTGAGAAATTCATAATTTTCCATAAGTAATGGAAAGCTATGAACAGTACTTTGACCAAAAAAATAGTTTTATAAAAGTTTCCATAGAAAGAGTATACTGGTATTTGGGTACAAATAGAACTGAGGTCTGGAGGAGAAGAGAATGTTCTAGAAGTTCAGCATAAGATACATATGAGTCTGAACTAGATGTTGTGGAACTAAAAAGGAAGAGATGACTGTAAATATATGGTGAAAGACTATTAGTAAGAATAGACATTTAATTGAGAGATTATATTATGAAAACTTTTGAGTTTTATCAGTTAATCATCTTAACCCTCTGAAGTATATAACTATCATCTCCATTTTACAGAAGTGGGTTAATTTATTTATTAATATAGTCTAAGTATAGTGTTGGGACCCAAACCCCAGACTCACTGACTTCTAATACCAACACTATCAACCTCTATGCTTTCTAATTATTAGAGCTCATGGTACTTAATATTGAGGAGAAAACTGGAGCCAAAAAATGACACTGAAGTTTCAAGCTTAAACAATTGGGTATCAATCAAAACAAAACATGACTCAGCAGGTGTGGCTCAGTGGTTGAGCTTCAACCTATGAACCAGGAGGTCATGGTTCAACTCCCGGTCAAGACACATGCCTGGGTTCCGGACTCACCCCCCAGTGTGGGGTGTGCAGGAGGTAGCCAATCAATGATTATCTCTCATCATTGATGTTTCTTTCTCTCTCTCTTATTCTTCCTTCTTCTCTGAAAACAATAAAAAAATATTTTAAGAAAAATTTAGAAATAAACAAAAATACATGGCATATAAGGAGGAAGAGTTGGTTCAGGAAATTAGATACAAATTCCATCTTTAATCTACCCAGTTTCCTGAAAAGCATTGTATTTTCAGCATGACCTGAAGAAAGTTTCTGTTGCATATTATCCATTAGTCCTGTTTTAGTCTTTAAATGTTTAATTTATCCTGTGATAAGCCATTTCCATTTTAACCCACTGAAATTCTATTGTTTTATCAGGTGAGACGTTTCCTGACAAGGTGCCTAAGGTGCAGTTAGTCATCACATATGAAGATGTGAAGCTAACTATACTAGTGAAACACATGAAAAACATCGTAAGTTTGTCGTATCTAATGAGAAACATGGAAACCTATATTTAAAAATTACTTCCCTCTGTTGAGCAATTAATGTCAATATTAGTGAGAGAAATGGGGCCAGCCACCAAGTTTAAGTGAGGAACAATGAACCAATTACAGTGTTCTTCTCAGCCTGACTGTGATCCTAGAGGATTATAAAATATTTCACAGGGTAAGTCCTAGAATGAAAATCAGATTGTATTCCAAATGAAGTGTCAGAAAATGCTAGTGAAAAGGCTTTGAGAAAGCAGAACAAGTTGGAGTACTAAGAGCTAAAGGAAAAACAGCTCAGTCCCAAGAACTGACATATCCCATCATGTTGAGCTTGCCAGAGAACTGATTCATCTCTTTGGGTAGTGCCCGTACCTTGTCTGGGAAGCCAGGATGTCTTATCTTAGAGCAGTGGTTCTCAACCTGTGGGTCGTGACCCCTTTAGCGGTCCAACGACCCATTCACAGGGGTCGCCTAAGACCATCCTGCATATCAGATATTTACATTACGATTCATAACAGTAGTAACATTACAGTTATGAAGTAGCAACGAAAATAATTTTATGGTTGGGTCACAACATGAGGAACTGTATTTAAAGGGACAAAAGGTTGAGAACCACTGTAGAGTTTCCTTTCAAATTCCCATTGTACCTTGAGTTTTTACCATCACAACAGTTATCAGATTCTGATGTAATTGCTCACAGATATTTCTTTTTCCTCAAAAGGCAAAAATAGATACAGAGACAGAGCAACATCGAACAGACAGTCAAACTACAGCGGAAGGCCGGGGAGGGTTGAGGGGGTGGGTGAGAGATCAACCAAAGGACTTGAATGCATGCATATAAGCATAACCAATGGACACAAGACACTGGGGGCTGGTGGGTATGGGAGGCTAGGGGAAGGTCAAGGGGAGAAAAAAAAAGGAGACATATATAATACTCTTTGTAATACTTTAAACAATAAAACAATTTTTAAAAAAGCTAATAAATTGTTTGAGGACAGGACTCCCATCTTTGCAACCCCAGAACATATAACTGTAGTTAACCTCTAAAGAAAACTAAAAGCTGTGTCTCTGTTACACCCCACTATCCCTAAGGCTGGGTCAAGTCAGAGGCAAGAGCAGCAATTGGGCCATGTCATTAAGCAAGACAGGGAGCTTTCTATCGCACGGGGTAGGTTATTCATGATCGTAGTCTGGGAGCAGTGAACAGAAAAGGGTAACTCTAAGCCTCGCCAGCTTCTCTGGTTTTTCTCTAGTCTCGTCAAAATGGGTGAAACTCCCCAGGAGATTCCACAGGTGTAGAGAAAGTCAGTAGCACTGTTTTGGCTTTCTCCTTTATTAGTATAAACCTCTCAGGATGCACTTGGAAGGATTTAAAGGGGCAAACCCTTCTCACCATGACATGCATCTGGAACATGCTAGAACTTAATAAATGTTTTTTCAGTGAATAAATAGTTGGCATAATTTGCACAGGATACATCTGCTACAAACTTAATATTAGCCAGATACCCAAGGATGTTTGTTTGTAAATCTGTGGTGTTTATAATCAGCATTTTTTGTAATAGCTGAACCAACATTATTAAATGTGTTATGTTTTGGTAGAACTTTTAGCCATTGAAATAAGTATTTTCAATTACTTTTGATATGATAATCATCTTAAATGAGAATAGCAGTTGTTTAAGAAATTCTTAGGCTGGAAAATGAAGATTTACCTAAGTATCTGTATACATTCATACAATGAAATAATAGAGTAATGAGAAATGGTGTTAATTGACTTGACAGAACTCATATATGTATATGATATATAATTGTTAATTGAAAATAGTCTTATTGGAAACTAAATTTTTATTTCAGTAATGTTGTCTTTGCTCAAAACATTTTAGAATATGCCTATTGATATTCCTTTTAGAGCTGGCATAGAAATCACAGCAAACTTGGTGGTGTCACTGAGTAGACATGCCTAATATTTGATCAAAAGCAATATTAGCCAACTTGGTCACCTATTTATTCACCAGATGAATCCCCAAATTACATTTAACAGTTTTCAAAAATGCATTTTACGCTCAGATGAAGCTGCACTACCAATACGTATATTCAAAACGAATGTGATGCAGGCATGAAGGGAGGAGAGACAGTGAGCAAGAGTCTAAGATTCAGATCAAGTTATGAGAAATGGAAAATGATCCGTTGAATACCACAAAAAGTAAAAGCAAACAAACACTTAGGGCCATTAGAAACTATACATTGTCAATGCCCTCTGAAGGATCTTAATAATAAAGCAATACTTCCTGCAGTCTGAATCCTCAGTGCCTGCTGGCTCCGCTCTTCTCCCCAGTCTCTTCTCATTGCCCTGGTATTTATTTCTAGACCTCTCTTTTTTCTATCTTCAGTCTTGTGTCTTTAAATACCACCCACATGTCCTTCTCTTCTGTATTTATAACTCCAGCTTGAATATGTTTCTAAAATCCAGAGTTGTATGTACAACTGATTACTCAACAACTGTAATAGAAATTCAATAGGCACCACAAACTTAGCATACACCAAATAAACTTACTATCATTGCCCTTCTAACCTTGCTTCTTTTGCAATCTTTCTTATCTCAGTAAATAGCACCTTCATCCTACTAGTTGCTCAGGTTAAAATCCTTAGAGTCATTTTGACTTCTTTCATAAACAACATCCAATTTGCCAGCAAATCATGTCAGCTCTGCATTCAAAATAAATCCAGAATCCCACCACTTTTCATGTCCACTGCTATCACCATTGGTTCAAGTCACCATCATCTCTCAACCCAATTACTACTGTAACCTCTTACCAGGTCTCTCTCTGTCTACCCTTGTTTGTTTATAAATCAAACCCTGTCATTTCTCTCTTCTTATTGTTTTGGGGAAGGAGTCTCATATCACATACCATGAAAGACAAAATACTTATTAATAATGATCTGTGAGGCTACCAATATGGCCCCTTGGCCTCTCCAACCTCATCTAGTATAGACACCTTCAATCATTCCACTTCATCTTCAGTGACTTCCTTGCTCTTCCTTGAATATTGCAAACATGCTTTTGCCCTAGGATAATTGTTCCTCCTACTCAGTTTATCTGGAATGCTCTTCCCTGGGCTCATGACTCAAATTCTCCATGGCTCAGTTTCATGGGCCCTGAATGATCATACTTGACTGTCACCTTTTCAGTGAGTGAGGACTCACTCCTGTAGGTAAAACTGCAAAACCACCCTCTTTGTTACCATTTCCAAACCTCCTTTCTTACTTTACTTTTTCCCACTGCCCTGTATCACACTGTAATCTCAGGGGCTAAAACAGAGCCAAGGACATAGTAGGTGCTCAATGAATACTTGGTTAAAAGAAAGAATGTCAAATTACTTCTGATGTGAACAAGGGCTAAAACCAAGATCTTTCTCACCATCCAAAAATCACCACAAAAGGTCCCATGCCTTGCATTTTCACAGCTTATTCTTTCTCCTCATCTGAAGACAGAGATAACATTATAATGTTAAAATGTCAGAAAAATCTATAACTCTCAACATAGTTTCTTGGCCCATTTCAAGTTTTAACTAATTCTTATTTATTTTTTGAGCCTTTAGTATTTTCACATGCCAAAGTAATCAGACTAAAGAGTTGTGCTTAATTTTATTTTAATAGTAAAATGAAGTATTAAGCCTGCAGTTTTGTCGCACTTGATATTAAGTTTGATGAAAAGAATTATCTTCTATGAAATCTTTGAAGCTTTGCTCTAAGAATTACTTCCCTCCTGCAAGATCACAAGCTGAAACAAGATTGCGGAAATGTTTTTCCTTTCAAAGCAGCAAAATATGATTTGTTCTAGTGAACAGAAGCTGACTAATGCAGTTATTTAGAAGCTTGGTCAAGGTTTTCTAAACTAATATTTTCATTTATATAACAAAAATGTAAAAATCATTTAGATTTGAAATATTTTTAAATCTCTCTAGTACTTTCCCACACAGCCCACTTTAAAATGCTCTCTGGCATGGACTCACTCACCATGTCTGTCTCTGCATTACACTGCTGGCAATGTCTCTCCTGTTCTCTCTCCCAGTCTGTGTTAATTCTAGACTGTTTTCTCCTACCTGTTCCGGAAGGCTCTAAAAGTGATCAATAAGGATACTGGACTCTCTTCCGGTATTGAAAATGCTCACACTGTTAGAGTTTCTTACTCTGTAACAAAAGAGTAAGTTATTTTAAATGAAGAGCAAGTAATGTCAAGGAAAAAAGATAACACTTCAAATTGGGTGCTGTTAAATCGTTCATAAGACACAAAATGGGAGAAACAGTTACTATAGGAAATTAACAGGAGAGAGAGAAGGAAAAGTAGAGTGAAGCACAACCAGAGAACCTCAGGCTAAACACACACTCATATTAAAAATTTATTACATTTCATATTTTACTTAGAAAATTCCTTACAATTTTGCTGTCTATGTGTAGCCGGGGGTTAGTTCCATGAACCATACTTGAAGAAACATTTACCAAATGGCTCTTTACTCCATAAATGGTGCCCTCCAGGCAGTGTGGGTTCTGGATTTGGCACCAAGTCAGTTGTGGTGCTTGTTGAAGTACAACAGCGATACAATTTAGATTTGAAGAAAATAAAGCCCCAGTGATGGCAATATATGAATTTTTTTTAATATATTTTATTGATTTTTTTTTTTACAGAGGAGAAGGGAGAGGGATAGAGAGTTAGAAACATCAATGAGAGAGAAACACCAATCAGCTGCCTCCTCCACACCCCCTACTGGGGATGTGCCCGCAACCAAGGCACATGCCCTCTTGACCAGAATCGAATCTGGGACCCTTGAGTCCGCAGGCCGACGCTCTATCCACTGAGCCAAACCGGTTAGGGCAATATATGAATTTTGACATATTAAAATAACAATGTTTTGTGTTTCCTTTTAAAACTAACTTGGCTAAATTTTCTATCCCAGTTCTTTTCAATTATTGTTCCAGCCTAGATGCAC